AAATGAGCAAATATATCCCAGATTGCTTTGTGAGAGTTCTCCTCGCAAAGCATCATGGGATTTTTTGAGGCGGCCACAAATAACAAAATGGCGCAGGCATGGTGCAGGGAGTTGGAGTAATGTGACCAACGGGTAGCGAAAAGTAGTGATCACATTCCGAACAGTCAGTTAACTGAGTTCACTATAAAGTTCACTATATAGTCCCTGCTCTAAATACTGATTGAGGGGTTCAGGGGTTAGGGCGGACTTTCAGAAACAGCCAATTATTAACCACGGGCGTTTGGATTTTTGCTACTGAAAAACTTGTCCTGCAATGATACAGATGTATAATAAACTTCAGTTTGGTCTTTAATGCTTTGACTCGTTGCTTAACAATAACTCGAGGCACTATATATGTTACTTTATGTAAGCCTTAGTTTTCATGCGGAGATTTGTTATTCTGATCAACCTTCCTCCTTATGTAAAAAATAATGGAAATCAGACTAATTAATTATAATGTTTGACATAAGTCATGTAAAGCAGATTTATGACAAAGGTCATTGGACTAACTGCTGAGGATCAAGGGATCACGGCGGAGCTCTCCACACACAGAGCTGAGGCAGTACCAACTTAAAAAAAAAAAAAGAGTTTTATAGACACTGCTTAGAAATGTCACTTTTATTGGTAAATTTATGGTGTTAAGGCGGGAAAAACACTACAAACCCTGAACCAACTTTTCACATATGATTCATTAGACAACACTTGGTCTGCATTTTGCTCTTAAAAGCTGCTTCTCTATAATAAAATACATATTTCTTAAATGGAAAGTCTCCATGAGGTTTGGGTAATTATATTTTTGCATTAAGTATTAAGACAGTATTATGTAGATGACAAGGCTGTGATTATTTGATTATCTAGAAAGCATATATACGTTTTAGAGCCATTTAACCTAAAAAAAAATTAAAACTATGTATATTAAATAATGATATGCTTTCCATAGGAAGTAGATCAGCTCATATAAAACCATTTCCTTTTTTTTTTGTTTTACAAATGGTTCTTTGTAGCAGGTAATGGACTATTATCTTGCAAAGTACATGGACAGTTTATTTTACCCTTGTGTTGTGTTCAGGTCTGTGGGAACTCAGAGAACTCTGAACCATGACATCCACTAAGTAAGAGATTCTGACAGGGATGGGGGGATTGTTTGAACTAAGAGGGTGTTAAACATTAACAAACGGTACCCTCTGCCAAATGTTTGAACTTACAAATAAAAAGAGAGGAGTATACTAAATTTTGAAATGCCATTGGACAACGAACGAGGTATTTATACAGCGAAGAAAGTTTAGTGAATACTTCACGGTGTCAAATTAAAGTGACGAATTAAATCTGTCGTTACAAAAATCAGGGTAAGAAAGAACTAAATTTCTAACATATTTATATAAATCTGGGCTGAATTTATTATATTTTAGATAACAGCAACTTGACAAATACTCATAGTATGTTTGGGGGAAAAAACAGCTTATTGGTAAAAAATAAACAACCAAAAAGTTTAAATTTTATTATGAAGTTTAGACATTTATGGTTGGTTTATAATCATGTATTATATCTTTTTTATGCAGAATCATGAGACAAGTTGTCCTCTTTCACTTGATGCTCCTCCTTCCAATGTATTCAACCCACAATTACCGTAAGTATATCTTAAAAATCTTTGTGGATTTGTTGACACTGTAAACATTACTGTGGGTGAAATTCATGTATTAAAAGAAAACAGTGAAAATAATACTGGTTAATTCTCTAAAATCATATCAAGCCAATTTTTTTTCATAATAGTTATCTCTTTTAAAGACAGTATTTTAGACTTAGACAGATTTGTCATTTTGTTTAGTGTGTAAAACAAAAATACATTTTATTTAGAACAGCTCTCTGGACAATTTCATTTTTTTTAAAGTGCAGCCTTGAAAAATAGTAAAAAAATTTGCAAAAGAATTTACAACTTCAGTATTTTAACTTTTCCTCCATTTTTAGTTTCTCGTTGTCCAGCAAGTTTCCAAAGACTATCGTAATCATGTTTTTTTTAGCATGTTTCTTGCTTTCAACTAAGCATTGACTGTGAAGCCAAGACTTGACATAAATCTAATTTGAACATTTTGAAAGAAGGACCAACATGCATGAAAAAAACGATACAAATTAAAAAGGATGTAGAAGTTTGTCTCTAAATGATTGTATGTATATCTTTAAATATAAATCTAGTGAAATATTACTAAAAGTTTTGGTGCACTCTAATATGAAATCACATGCTGCAGATGTGTCCACTGCACGTCCACATTGCAGATGTTCTGCCCTCATGGTTTAAAGTTTGATAACTGCTGATGTGGGCAAACTTCCCACTGGGTGAAAAAGTAAATAATAAAAACAATTTTTATTAAAAATAATTTACATTGTGCCACAGTGAATTAACTTGGAAAAATAAAATAAATGCACATGAAATTTGTTCATTCTGAACCAGTAGAACATACAACCCAAACAAATATAACATTTTTGAAATTTTCTTCAACATTTCAAATGAATTTCTAAATGTTTATAGTAGATAAAACACAATCAATAGTGTAGTAATTAAGAAACAAGCACCTACAATAACTTGATAGATATTTAGTTGTTTAATCTAAATTCTACTACAGTTTTACAGAATGAAGCATAACCTGTTGTCAGATTTGAAAAAAAATCTGAAAATAAAAACACTTACCATCGGATTGTCGGTTCAAGTCCCGGCTCCTGCTTTCAGTGTTGTTGTGTCCTTGGGCAAGACACTTCACCTGCTTTGTCTACTGATGGTGGCACCAGTGTACGGCAGCCTCGCTTCTGTCAGCGAGCCCCATTGCAGCTGTGGCAGCTGCCACCATCAGTGTTTGAGTGAATGGGTGAATGAATGAACACAGTGTAAAGCACCGTGGTCAAGTCTCCTGCCTTGAAAAAGCGCTATATAATTACAGACCATTTATCTTTTTTTTTATGTGCAGCAAATGTGGCTTTGCGTGGCAAAGCAACTCAGTCACAGCGCTATTTTGGTAGCGCATATGGTATTTATGGTGCTGCATCCAATGCCATTGATGGAAACAGAAGTCCCATCTTCCGTGATGACTCTTGCACCCATACTTCAAACCAAACCAATCCATGGTGGAGAGTGGACCTGCTGGACTCGTATATCATCACCCAAATTATAATCACCAATAGAGGAGACTGTTGTGAGGAACGCATCAAAGGAGCAGAAATACGGATTGGAACCTCTAAAGAAAGAAACGGTCTTGGAAACCCATTGTGAGTGATCATTTTTATTCAGTTCAATATTGTCATACTGCACCAATTTACAAAACATGCCTCCAAAAAAATCTGATATGAATTTAGTAGAATAAGAGAGACCAGATCAAGAAAACATTTTCTGAACAGTTATGAAACAATGCCATCAATTTCAATTTATTATTTAAGTTGATAGAAATGTTTTTTTCTTACTCAAGAAAACCCAGCATATTGCATTTAGTCAATGAACTACAGCATGAACTCTTGTGCAAAACGTTGTGACAGTGGACCTGCACTTGTGTTGCATCACTGACTTTGCAGCATTTGTTTATATCAAGCATGCATGCTGCGACAGTGGAAAGGAAAATGCCCCTTGAACATGATAAAACTTTAGCATAACTAGCTGCGGTATGAATGCTCATCAGCCATAAGTGATCAGAGATTTAGAGAGAGCATTCACAACAAAAAAAGAACATAAGTTCATGGTAACAGTAGGTCCTTTTTTGGCTTCATCTAGGAGAGATGAATCGCTGAGAAAGCTCAGAAAATAAGTTCTGATCTGTTTGTTTTTTTAGTTCTATATGATGAAAGAGAGTTGATCACAATAAAAGCTCACCCAGTAGCTTAGGATAACTTGAAGTTGCTTCTAGCAGTAGCTCAGCCACTGCCCGCTTCAACAGCGATTACACAGCTAAACTGCAGCCCACAGGCTCTCCGACCAACATCAGTAGGCAACACAAGTGAAAAGCAGCGTAGGCCCTACTGCCTCATAAGTTAACTGGTTTTACAATATGAAAGGGACTGAAACCTCCTTTAACTAAAGTGGTTAGCTAATGTACTCTTAGCAGCGACTAAATTTTACAGACAAAAATGTCCTCTTTTCAGGGCTGCTACAATTCCCGCCATTGCAAGTGGGGCCTCTCACATAATAAACATTCCTGCTCGCATGGAGGGACGATACGTCACTGTTGTAATTCCAGGGGAAGGCAAGGTTCTGTCACTCTGTGAAGTGGAGGTGTATGGCTACCGTGCCCCAACTGGTGAGAGATGTTATGCAATATTTATAAAATGGATAGTGAGATGACAAGTATTGAAACTATTTCATTTGATAATAAGAAAAATTAGGAAATGATAAAGCTCATCCCCAATATTTGGTGGGATTTAAAGTCGTAGAGAAATCATATTTGAATGTCAAATCATTCTAGCTTAAATATGTATATAAAAAAGTTAGATTTCAAGTTACATACTTTAAAATTTGAAATGTTATTTTCTTAACAGGTGAGAACCTTTCCCTTCAAGGAAAAGCCACACAGTCATCGCTGTATGAGACTGGTATAGCATACAATGCCATAGATGGAAATCGCAACAATGACTGGTCTCAGGCTTCTTGCTCGCACACAAACCAAGACCTCAGCCCCTGGTGGCGCCTGGATCTGCGCAAAACACGCAAAGTGTTTTCCATTAAAGTCGTCAACCGGAATATGCTTGAACAACGACTACTTGGAGCAGAGATCCGCATTGGAGATTCTCTTGATAACAATGGCAACAACAATCCAAGGTAGTTTTTTTTTTTGTTAAAATATCTTGCATGATTTGTAAAAGGAAAAGGATTATACATAGGCTTAGAAGACATGTTTTTTTTCCTTAGATGTAGTTTCAGACTTAAAAATATAGTAATTCTTGTTTATTTTCTGCTTCTTTTGACAGATGTGGTCAAATCACACCATCCTCTGGAAAAAGTCTTCATGAGTTTGAGTGTGAAGGAATGGAAGGACGTTACGTCAACATAGTAATCCCTGACAGAATGGAGTGGCTCACTCTTTGTGAAGTGGAGGTTTATGGCTCCACGCTTGAATAAAGTCTATTAATGGCATTACAATTCAGTCTCAAATTACTCTGCTTTGTGTTTTCTGTGTAGCTACAGTATGGTATACTGTAAATGATATGTTTTTCACACTTTTAATTCAGTTTTTCCACACTCCAATGTTGACCCCAATCTGACAGGTGTGGATGAGGATTCGTGATTGACAGCCTGCCGATGAGCTGATGGCTCATTCCCTTCCATGTCGAATGTTATATTAATGGGCTGTGGGAACTACAAAAACTTTGTGACCATATTCTCTGCAGCATGTTATTAACTGCTTGGCAAAATCCTGTGAAAAAGAAAGAAAACTGAATTTAAAGAAACACAAAGAAAAAAATGCAGAACTTGACTAAAATGGATTTGAATCTGACAATATAAAATCTGTTTTTCAGATTATGAAGTAAAACATTTGATCAGTTTCAATAGTCTCTTATGTTCCAGGGTCGACAGGCTAAGAAACCATTCAGTGACTGCAGCATCTAAACACCACTATACCAATGAGACCAATGAATTTGCAAATTTCTTCTTTAAAAAAAAACAATGATTATAGTAGCAGTCTGTAAATCATATTTAGTCCAGTAGCAAAGTTTTCTCCACCAAAAATTGTAGACTTACTAATGTCTTCTTCCACCTATCTCAATGTTTTACAATATGCTTATAGATTTAACTCCAAAAATAAACATGTCCATTTTGTCAGGGATTTTTTTTTACCCAGGGCCCTTAACACAACAATTGGGACGACTGGCATTATTGGACCTTAATGCAGCAATGATTGTTATTTAGGACTGGGGAATGCATTGCGATATAATCTCTATTAAACAAAATGCTAATTTGGGAACGTTAGATTTAACAAGACTACAAGACAAATAAGAGCTTCCAAAATTTAGTACACAGCTTCAGTAAATACTGCTAGAAACCACCAATAGGGCTGGAAATCATGGTGTACAGTACTAATGTCTTCACCTGAACCTTCAGGAAAAAAAAGACAATAACAAAGTTGGCTTTCAATCACCTAAAAGACTATTGTCTCAGCGGGAAGTTGAAAAACTATTTTGTGCGTAAAACGCACTCCCCGTCTATTCCTGTATATCAGAGAATAGACGTCAAAATACTGTTGCTAGTCTATGAATATCTCAATAACTTAGCTCCAAAGTACATAACAGACTAGTCGTCAGTGAATCATCCATCCGGATCTCTTAGGTCTTCTGGCTTAAATATACTTTGCATACCTTGAACCCAAACTAAACAGAGAGGAAACATTCAGTCCTTATGCTCCACTTATCTGGACAATAAAACTGTGCTGAAACTTGCAGTTGCTTTAAATCTAAATTAAAAACACATTTGTTTAGAATGGCCTCTGACTATGCTAGCTAAACATCATTTAAGTTTTCAGTCTTTCTTATCTTGAATGATTTATTTGATCTCTATTTTTAACTTTTCTCTCCAATTTTTTTGTGTTGCCTACACACCACTG